ACACCACAACTGAAGGTCCCAAAACTGCTACTATGCACTCCTAAGGCAGTCATTTTCAAAAGGAATGCTATGAGGAACAGAAACACAACTGGCACTGTGTAGCAATCCAAAAAGTATGTCTCAGCTTACCATTGTCCAGTCACAAATTCCCCTGCTCATTCCCCTCAGGAGCTGCCAAGGGGAAATAAATCTCAGCAAAGAGGAGTCTTATGTCAGCTTCCCACATGGCATGCAAAACCATATAGCTCTGAGGTACTAGTGACACAGAAAGCACAGCACACTTCATTAGATACTGCAGTTATGAGCTGCCTAGAGTGGCACTAGCTAAAATCCAGAAGGTGCCTTGGCGCCAGCAAAGAGTAAGGGCACTTCATTTATTGAGAATGCTTCACAAGGCCACCGAGAGGTTCACACTGGGTATGCCACAAAGAAGAAATGCGAGACACTTATGCGGGGCTCTGCAGTTTGATTCCGCTGGCCTTCAAACACCAGTGGTTGCACACATATTTATTGTATTTCTAAAACGAAAGTAGGTGACAAACACAATACACCAGGCACAAATATTCACTCTGAGAAGGAACAATGGGGGGTTTTCACCAAGCCCACACTTCTGTTAATCTGTAAATAAATCGACTTTAAAGCCCTGGAAATATCTTAATGAATCTACCCAATGCCAGAAGAAAACCATCATACTTTCACATTGCCAAAGCCCACAGATCTTCTACAGGCAGCTGGGCTAATGGAGGGCTACCATCTGGCTCTGCGGGTGGTCTGGCTCTGGGCTTCTCCTGGCAAGGGTTCTCCTGGGCGCCAGGCTGCACATTCGCAGCTATCCCCTGCTTTGCTTGCTCTTGGCCTTGCCGCTCTGTAACCTCCTGCACTGCCCCAGAACACAGAAGCCCCGCCTGGATGGCAGGCTGAGCCTGCTGTCTGCTCTTGGGGAGCTGTGCCTGCCCTCTGGCCTAAGCCGAGGTCTCACTGGGAGAACCACAGGCCATGAGCTGGGCCCCGTTCTTCTATACACCGTGAAGTTCTGAGCTGGGTGGCTTCAGAGTCCCTCCCTGTCCAAGAGGTAACCCAAGTGTTGGCATTTCCCCAAGCAGCCTGGCCTTGGCCTTTGGCGCCCCGCCCAACTTCCTTCCCCATAGGGCGCCCTAGGGCAGCAAAGGCCACAGCTGTGACACCAGATGGAGCTGAGAGCTGGACTCTGATGCAAACCACTGCAAAAGGAGCTGTGGCTCTAGGCCACAGGGGCATTATTGCCTAACACCTGACTCACAGGACTAGGGTGCCCGCTATGCAGGCCGCGCGCTCTTTCGAGAGACTGGGAAGCTCTCAGAGGTGGCCCCTCCTCACCTGGCTACACCTCTCATCTTCTCAGTGCACTGGGCTGCAGGCTGCGGCAGACTGCTGATACTAGGCTGGTGACTCCTGACGGATAACTGCTGAAGGCTGCAAGCTAAGAGTCCGAGTGTACCAGGCTGGGCCTATGGCGGATGTGTGGATCGCCACGTACTCCTGGGTTCTCTGCCACGCTGCAGAAGAAAGGAGTCCTTCCGGGGCACAACTGCGGGGTCAACTCCGCCTCCCGACCCGCCCTCTCAGGCTTCAATGGCAAGGGATAGCCACAAACTCATGCCACGCCCACCGCCCTCCTCCAAGCTTCCACCCAGGTTGAACCTCTCCTGCAGGAAGTCTTCCAGGCTTGCCTCTGGTTTCCTTCTGCTAAGGCACTTCTCACACCACGAACTTGCTATAGCAGTACTTGCAGTCTCAGCATGTGAGTGTGGCATGCACGGCGCTGAATATTGGGCCAGGAAACCGGATGTACTGCCACCTTGCCTCTCTTGCCGCTTGGATGGGCTTAGACACACTGCCAATGACAGGTCATCTTGGTTCACCTCCCGTTGCCAGTGGGCTAAGGGGTCCCTCACGGACTGTCCCCAATTACTGATCCACCAAACCTCTGTGTAATGCTGTGCCAGGCCAGGGAACATCGGTGCAGGTGGAAGAATCCACGCGCCCCATGCAGCCTTGCACGGGACCACCAACCCCGTGCGGTCCATACCTGCATACAAACCAGGCCGATTGGCTCTGCTGATGGGGCCCTTTGCTGCCAGGGGAAGCTCTTGGCAGAGCAGGGCCCCGGCCACCACCCCGCACCTCCACACCCCACCACATGCCCCTTGCCCCTTGCCTGCTTCCACCTCAGGCCTCTCTGCATGCCTTTGTGCCAGCAGAGTTGGCGTGGAGGCCCGAGACTTTCCATCTCCGGCTGCACCTGTGCCACCCTGGAAGCCAGGCTGCCAGACCCCAAAGAGGCAGAGTTACAATGCAAAACAAGGGCCAGGGCCAGGGCCAGGGTGGGGGGTAGGGTGGGATGTGGTGGCCATTGTATTTCCATGTTGAGGCCCAGCTCCCTGGCACAACAGACTTATCCAGGATGGGGGATCAAGGGCTACTCCTGCCCCAGGCCACCAACCGGAAATCTGCAAGTTCAGCTTCCTGCAAGCTGTTGTGTAGGAGATCGCAACCCACAAGGAACTCAGGTGTGAGCTTTGGGATTGAGAGACAGATCAAGAAGAGTACAGACAGGGGGAGCAGCAAACCCAGAGCCACAGCAGGAGAGGAAGCTGTGGAAGTACAGCAAGGCCAGAGAGAAGGACACAGCAAGAACAGCTTCAGCAGGGTGATAGTGGGGAGAACAAACTGTGCAGCTTAATGTTCTCTGGGCTCCTGGGAAAGATGATCTCTCTGTCTCTTCTCTCTCTTTCTCTGGCTCTCACTCTGCTTCTATGTGTATGTGTGAGTGGGCCTTGGGGTGGATAGAGAGCCTGTGGCTTGGGGCATGGGACGTGAACTCTCCGCCCTCCTGACCCCTGTGCTTTTAGGAGGTGCCAGGACCCAGCTGTTGCCTGCCCGATCCTCTGAGCATACCTACTGCGTTTGTCCAGGAGAGTCCTCTGTGGCCTCCTGCCCTCCAGGAGAGCTTGTGTAGGCATGCTCTGGGATATATCCTTCCCAGAGATATCCAGGAAGGCTCATGGGTCATCCTTTGTCTCCGCTGTCACACGGGGGAGTCCTTTGGCTTTTCACAAGGCCAAGGGGGTCACCTCCTCCGAAACTACTAGACTTTCCCTCAGCCTGAGGGCTTGCAGGAACCTTCACCTAGGCCCTTGAGCCTATTTCCTGGGGAAATCAAGTGTGGACTGAAAACAGCATGGCTTTGTGGTGTTGTAGTTCCCGTTCCCTGCTTGCACTGTTGCACTGGCGGAGGGAAGACTGTCTCCTGGAGTACCCAGGCCAAGGACACAGGGAGGTCCTCTCTGAGAGGCTGGGCCTGGCTCAGAACCTCCCCAGAGATGTGCCCCCGGGCGGGCATCTCTGGGTGCCAGGCACCTCAGGGGTCCCTCCTCACACAAGAGCAGTGTTCAGCAAACATCCTAGGGCATTCACGTGCTGCCACACCATGCCTCCAGAGTTCCCCAGGGATGTGCACACTGCAACAGAAACTCTCAGTGCATCCAGAGCTGGTGGGCTGCACAGCTATTCACCAGAAATGGATAGGAGCATCCTCAGGCGCAGGCAGGGATTGCCTCACAAAACTCCCCCCGACTCTGAGGAGAAGCGCACCAGGACACCAGAACACCTGTGGGAAGGAGCTGATGTGTGAAACCTCACTACAACTGCAGGACCTCTTGCCCCAGGAAGCAAGGCAGGGCTTCAGCTACAAGGTGACACCTTGTGGGTGGCAAGGGGCCGGCAAGGCACATCGTGCCTCCCAATGCATGGCAACATGCGTGTTACTCTTTGGTTCCAGGCAAGGCACAGAGGTAGTTTTCTCTTTGTTGCACCACAGCACCAAAGCACCAGAGTTCCCCGCAGTCCTGGCCTCTTGCCCACACACAGAGGGCTTCGCTCTTCCTTGCTGGAGCTACAGAGACATGCCTCCCAGGCTGCAGTACTGGCCCTTCCCCCTGGCTTTGCGCAGGCCAAGCCAAAGAGGCCAGGCCAATGGAAGGACACTGCGCTTAGCAAACAGAGTAGGGCGCGCTGTTCTTGAGGGCCAAAGACATCCTAACAAGAGCCTTCCCCTTCTGTTGACCAGTGAGGAATATGCTGACCTCCTAAGTTTTCCACCCACAGCAGGGCCTTGGCCCAAGGCTACCCCTCTCCATGGGAAGCGGTGTGGCTCCCAGGGATTTGGATTGGGTGTCACATGGGACAGGACTGAGCAAGGTCCATCTCTGCTCTGCCATTCTGGCCTTTGGCCCCCTGAGCCCTGTCACAAGCTGCCTCACCTAGGGCTGCAAAAATCCATCTGGAGACCACACCTGTGGGAAGTGGCTGTTTACAGAGATGCCTCTCACCTTCAGATGCCTGGCTGCCCCAGGGCAAGGAACACAGTGGCCTGGATGTGCTGCCAGGCGTGTCCAGCTTTTCACTGGTGTGCCTCAGGAGCTTGGCCAGGCCCGTTCCCCTCAGTCTGGCACAGCCGGGGCCCTAGGAGGCAGCCGCTGCCCAAGCAAGACCAGGGCTTCCAGCCTGAGAGGCTCACACTTGCTTCAAAGGGTGACTAAAGCAACTTTATCGTTGTGGGAGTCTCCGAACGAGTCTGACCTTCTGCAGAAGGAAGACCTTCAGGCTACAGCTCGCCCCAAGGAAGGGACCGCTGCGCACGTCAAGGGTCACCTGGCCTGCGTGGGAGCTCTCCTGGGGCGAATCCCCCATGCTTCCAAGAGCCCATCATCATCCAAGGGCAGTGGTTTCCCTCTGCCTCTCTGGAAACCCCCAACTCCGCCCGCAGGTACATTGTGTAGAAACACAGGTGGAAACCTGGAATCAGATCAAGCCACCACACTGCACCTTGACAGGCAGAACCCCTCACAAGTCAGAGAGGCCTTGGCAGAGGACCCAGGGTTCCCCACGTGGACCCGAAGCAGTGACTTGCACAGCGCCAGCAGAACCCAACACGTACACACACGCAGAGATGCCCAGGCTCAACAAACTCAATGCTCTTTATTGGCTCCAGTGTGAGAAGGGCTCCCTCCTGAAGGGCTTGCCGTCAGCCTTCCTCACCATCCTCTTTGATTTCACCACAGGCCCCGTGCTCTTGCTCTTGCCCTGTGCTCTCACCCTGAAATCCAAGGCTCTGTGTGAGGGAACCCAGGAAGGTTGGGAGGCCACAACCTTCCACTGGAAGTCTGAGACTGCTCCGGCCTATTAGGAAGGCACACAGGCTCACAGCAACAGTCGCCTGCACGGGACCATCTCAAAAGTCCAGGCCCCTCCATGTGGACAGGCTGTCCCGCTTGTACTTCCTCTGGCCCAGGCTGTAAAAACAATGTCCTACAAAACACATGCCCCCTGGCAAAACAGTACTCTGGACCATAAGGGTGCTGTGCTGCACGGATGAGTGAGCAGGGCTCTGTATGCCACAGGTGTGCACTAACACAAATCAAAGGAAATCCCAACCATCCCCCAGCCCGGGCCGGCCCGGCCCAGCCCGGGCCACCCCGGCCCAGCCCGGCCCAGCCCGGCCCAGCCCGGCCCAGCCCGGCCCTGCCTGGCCCAGCCCAGCCCAGCCCTGCCCAGTCCAGTCCAGCCCTGCCCAGCCCTGCCCAAGCCAAAACAACCTAGCCAAGCCTAATTCAACCCAAACCCCAGAAGAGGTGAGAGCATGAGAAGGGAGGGAAGAGGAGTCCAGGGGAGAGGAGGGGAGGCCAGGGCACTGGAGGGGAAGAGAGCTGAGCAGAAAGGAGGGGAGTGGAGGGCAAGGGAGAGGAGGGAAGGAGACCGGAGGGGACCCGAGGGGAAGGAGATCCTGGGGAGCCAAGCTGCCCCAGGACAAGGACAAGCAATCAGGAAACCACTGCTAGCCTAGCCGGAATGCCAGAAATGTCTGTCCCCCAACATCTACTTTTTAAAATGGGGTGCAGGGAATTGATACTAAAGACTCAGGTCTGCTTGTCTGCTAGGCACAAAGGCTTCTCCCCGCCCATGGGTAGGATGAGGCTTGTCTCAAGAAGCACTGGTTGCCATCTGGGCCCTCCATTCAGTCCGTCAACCTCCTACTTTCAGTGGTCCTACGTGCACTGGTTTAGTCAGGGCCTACTCTTCCCTAAGCCCGGACTGGGACTCCTGGCAGCTGGCTGACCCCTAGCATTCCGAGCCCTGGTCCTCACCTGCCCATCTGCGTGCTCCCTTTCTTCTCCAGGTGGCCGCTTAGGCTGGTAGTAGAGCAGTGGCCTGAGCCACAGGTCCTCCACCATGATCTGAGAGGGAAAGTGGGACACGCCGGTTCCAGGATCAGATCCCATGCCAGCAGATGAGGAGCCACCCCAATTGCAGCAGGACACATGCCCCTGGCCACCCACCTGAGTAATCCTGTGGCAGCCAGCAAAACTGTGATCAGTAAACCAGTTGAAGAAGTTCGGGCTGCTATTGTGCTTCATGCGGAGGCTGGCTTGGCGTCTGTAACTGGCACGCCACTGAATGGCCGTGGAACGCCACACCATGTAGCCTGCAGTGGGAGGGATAGTTGGGGACTAAGGGCACCCTGCTGGGCCACTTCTCCACCCAACGTGGGACCGCCCCACTCTTACCTGTCACGTGCCAGAGAAACTCCTTCACGATAGCTTCATTCAGGAAGTAAGAATTTTTCCTGAAGAACATGGAGACCTTGCAGCAATCGCTGGATTCTCCAGCTTCTTCTACCTGTCAGGGGAACAAAGCACGCAGAATCTACATCCCTATCCCACTGAGCCCTAATTGCCTGACACCAGGGCTGAGCTCACCTCCTGCCTCAACTCAGCTTTCCCCAACAAGAGCCCACACAGCCCAGTCCTGACCTTCAAACTGATCATGGAGCAAAGCATGTCTTCATCTTCCTCGCTGATCACTGCTGCCAGCTCTGGGTGGTTTACCATCTGCCTAGGGTCAAGGAGCTGAACACTCAGGTATGCTTGGCCAGGATTCCTGACAGAAGCAGAGACACACACAGAGAGAGCCGCACAGACAGACACACACACACAGACACACAGAGACACAGAGAAAAGGAGTGACACAGACAGAGAGATGAGGACACAAGAGGGAGCGGGAGCGAGGGGGTGCAGTCTTGTGGCAGAGGGCACCCGGGGAGCGGGGTCTTGGCAGCCGGGCAGGGAGGTTGTGCGGTCCTCTCCACCGCACTTCCCAGGTCTCCATTTCTCTCAGGCATGCTGAAAGCCACGTGGGTGTCCAAGGCTTAGGTGCACCTCACAGTGTGTAGGCACTGACTGTGCCTACAGTCAGTAGGCCCCACCCCACCACTGCTTGACAACCCGTGGCCTGCTTTGTCTGTGTGCTAAGGGCCATGCAGAATGGACGCGTGTCCCTGTGTGCAATGCGCCAGCTCTCACTCTCTGGGCCTTTCCCTCTGACCCTTGCCCAAGGATTTACAGAAGGACCAGGAAATACACGCCTCCTTGCACCTGTTGTGTGAGCCAAGCGCTTCCTGTGCAGGCTGCCTCATGCCTGCATGATCCTGATTCGGTGCTACACACAGGCTCAAGGACCTCGCAGGTCCAGAGGCACAAGCACTGCCTCACCAGATCACTCCTGGCCCCCCTAAGACCCAGAGAGAGAAAAACAGAGAGAGAGACAGACACAGACACAGACACAGACACAGACACAGACACAGAGACAGACACAGAGACAGACACAGAGACAGACACAGAGACAGAGACAGAGACAGACACAGAGACAGAGACAGAGAGAGACAGCCAGCCAGCCAGACACACAGACACACAGACACACAGACACAAACACACACACCCAGCCCCATAGGAGCAGCCTCTTCTCCCCACCCCCTACAGCTTTCCAGATGGGTGGCTACAGGTCCCGCACACATCCTGTCCTCTCTGCACTTGCGCTGCTCAACATTCCACACTGGTGAGCCACCCCTCCAGGGTCCCTTGGCCTGGCTGTGCCCACCCTCCAAAGGGCCTCTGCCCTGGCACCCACTGCCCCATGCAGCCTGGGCAGACAGATAAAGGATACTGCGGTGGTCCAGAAGCCCGGGATGCCCTGGATGAGCTGACCTCTGCACTCCAGCTGAGCTTTGCGCCTCTGCCACAGGTTCTGCCTCATCCCGGCAAAGGCCCTGCTGGCCTCCATATTCAGGGGCAGCATGTCTAACTGGAGGGCTCGCAGTTGTTCTACAGGAGGCTGGGCCGATGGACGGCCAGCAGCTGGCTCTGCAGGTCGTCTGGCTCGGGGCTTCTTCCTGCATAGATCCGCCTGGCCGCCCGGCTGCACCTTCGCAGCTGTCCCCTGCTTTGCTTGCTCTTGGCCTTGCCGCTCTTTAACCTCCTGAACTCCCCCACTACACAGCAGCCCTGCCTCCCTGCCTGGCTCAGCCTCCTGTCTGCTCTTGGGGAGGGGTGCCGGTTTCCTGGCCAAAGCCGAGGTCTCCTGGGGAGCACCAGATGCTGTGGACTGGGTCCCGCTCTTCTCTGCCCCTCGGAGCTCTGTGCTGGGTGGCCGCAGAGCCCCTCCCTGCCCACCAGGCACCCCGAGTGCCGGCCGGTTCTGGCATTTCCCAGGAGCGGCCTGGCCTTGGCTTTTCCCTCGCTGCCCACGCTTCTTCCCCATAGGGCGCCCTAGGGCTGCAAGGGCCACAGCTGTGACACCAGTTGCAGCTGAGAGCTGGCCTCTGATGCAAATCGCAGCCACAGGAGCTGCAGCTCTAGGCCAGAGAGGCCCTATTGCCTACCACCTGACCCACGGGCACGGGCAGAGTGGCCGGGCTGGGGGATGTCCATGGAACCCAGAGCGCCTGCTTCGCTGGCTCCCTGCACTTCCGAGAGGCTGGGCCCCGCTCAGAGGCGCCCCCCACCCCCCACCCCCCACCACAGCCAACCCCACCCAGGCTGAGGGCAGCGGGCTGCGGACTGCTGCTGACTGCTGAGGGCTGCGGGCTGCCTGCTGTCTCCTCTGTCTCCACTGGTGAAAGCAGAAGGCTGCGGGATGAGGGTCTGAGGGTCTTGGGCCTGGGCCGGGGCCTGGGACTAGGCCGAGGGCGGGCCTGGGGATCTGCAGGTGTTGCGGGATCTGCAGGTTCTCTGCCCCTCGCCCCAGGGCTGGAGTCCTTCCGGGGCAGGCCTATGGGGTCAACTCCGCCTCCCGACATGCCCTCTGGGGCTGCAGGCGCTGACTGCAGGGGAGGGCCCCCAACTCCTGCCCCGCCCACCGCCCACCTCCCACACCTCCCTCCCCTCAGTGTCCCACCCCAGCCTGAACCTCTCCTGCAGGAAGCCTTCCAGGCTTGCCTCTGGTTTCCTTTGGCTAGGGCACTTCGCCCACCACCACGGTAGCCACAGCAGAGCTTCCAGTCCAAGCTCGTGACCCTGGCGTGCAGCGCGCTGAAGGTCGAGGCCAGGAAAGCTGGAGCCCGGATGCACCGCCAGCTTGCCTCCCTTGGTGCTTGTGGGCACAGGCACACTGCCAACGAGAGGTCATCCTGGCTCACCTCCCTGTTGCCAGCAGGCCAACCGGGGCCCGCACAGGCTGACCACACTTTCCCAGACACCGAGGCCCCTCTGTGGGGCTGTGCCAGGCCAGGGCAGATGGGACCAGGTGGAAGATCCCACCCGCCCCATGCAGCCTTGCACGGGACCACCAACCCCGTGCGGTCCATACCTGCATACAAACCAGGCCGATTGGCTCTGCTGATGGGGCCCTTTGCTGCCAGGGGAAGCTCTTGGCAGAGCAGGGCCCCGGCCACCACCCCGCACCTCCACACCCCACCACATGCCCCTTGCCCCTTGCCTGCTTCCACCTCAGGCCTCTCTGCATGCCTTTGTGCCAGCAGAGTTGGCGTGGAGGCCCGAGACTTTCCATCTCCGGCTGCACCTGTGCCACCCTGGAAGCCAGGCTGCCAGACCCCAAAGAGGCAGAGTTACAATGCAAAACAAGGGCCAGGGCCAGGGCCAGGGTGGGGGGTAGGGTGGGATGTGGTGGCCATTGTATTTCCATGTTGAGGCCCAGCTCCCTGGCACAACAGACTTATCCAGGATGGGGGATCAAGGGCTACTCCTGCCCCAGGCCACCAACCGGAAATCTGCAAGTTCAGCTTCCTGCAAGCTGTTGTGTAGGAGATCGCAAGCCCACAAGGAACTCAGGTGTGAGCTTTGGGATTGAGAGACAGATCAAGAAGAGTACAGACAGGGGGAGCAGCAAACCCAGAGCCACAGCAGGAGAGGAAGCTGTGGAAGTACAGCAAGGCCAGAGAGAAGGACACAGCAAGAACAGCTTCAGCGGGGTGATAGTGGGGAGAACAAACTGTGCAGCTTAATGTTCTCTGGGCTCCTGGGAAAGATGATCTCTCTGTCTCTTCTCTCTCTTTCTCTGGCTCTCACTCTGCTTCTATGTGTATGTGTGAGTGGGCCTTGGGGTGGATAGAGAGCCTGTGGCTTGGGGCATGGGACGTGAACTCTCCGCCCTCCTGACCCCTGTGCTTTTAGGAGGTGCCAGGACCCAGCTGTTGCCTGCCCGATCCTCTGAGCATACCTACTGCGTTTGTCCAGGAGAGTCCTCTGTGGCCTCCTGCCCTCCAGGAGAGCTTGTGTAGGCATGCTCTGGGATATATCCTTCCCAGAGATATCCAGGAAGGCTCATGGGTCATCCTTTGTCTCCGCTGTCACACGGGGGAGTCCTTTGGCTTTTCACAAGGCCAAGGGGGTCACCTCCTCCGAAACTACTAGACTTTCCCTCAGCCTGAGGGCTTGCAGGAACCTTCACCTAGGCCCGTGAGCCTATTTCCTGGGGAAATCAAGTGTGGACTGAAAACAGCATGGCTTTGTGGTGTTGTAGTTCCCGTTCCCTGCTTGCACTGTTGCACTGGCGGAGGGAAGACTGTCTCCTGGAGTACCCAGGCCAAGGACGCAGGGAGGTCCTCTCTGAGAGGCTGGGCCTGGCTCAGAACCTCCCCAGAGATGTGCCCCCGGGCGGGCATCTCTGGGTGCCAGGCACCTCAGGGGTCCCTCCTCACACAAGAGCAGTGTTCAGCAAACATCCTAGGGCATTCACGTGCTGCCACACCATGCCTCCAGAGTTCCCCAGGGATGTGCACACTGCAACAGAAACTCTCAGTGCATCCAGAGCTGGTGGGCTGCACAGCTATTCACCAGAAATGGATAGGAGCATCCTCAGGCGCAGGCAGGGATTGCCTCACAAAACTCCCCCCGACTCTGAGGAGAAGCGCACCAGGACACCAGAACACCTGTGGGAAGGAGCTGATGTGTGAAACCTCACTACAACTGCAGGACCTCTTGCCCCAGGAAGCAAGGCAGGGCTTCAGCTACAAGGTGACACCTTGTGGGTGGCAAGGGGCCGGCAAGGCACATCGTGCCTCCCAATGCATGGCAACATGCGTGTTACTCTTTGGTTCCAGGCAAGGCACAGAGGTAGTTTTCTCTTTGTTGCACCACAGCACCAAAGCACCAGAGTTCCCCGCAGTCCTGGCCTCTTGCCCACACACAGAGGGCTTCGCTCTTCCTTGCTGGAGCTACAGAGACATGCCTCCCAGGCTGCAGTACTGGCCCTTCCCCCTGGCTTTGCGCGGGCCAAGCCAAGGAGGCCAGGCCAATGGAAGGACACTGCGCTTAGCAAACAGAGTAGGGCGCGCTGTTCTTGAGGGCCAAAGACATCCTAACAAGAGCCTTCCCCTTCTGTTGACCAGTGAGGAATATGCTGACCTCCTAAGTTTTCCACCCACAGCAGGGCCTTGGCCCAAGGCTACCCCTCTCCATGGGAAGCGGTGTGGCTCCCAGGGATTTGGATTGGGTGTCACATGGGACAGGACTGAGCAAGGTCCATCTCTGCTCTGCCATTCTGGCCTTTGGCCCCCTGAGCCCTGTCACAAGCTGCCTCACCTAGGGCTGCAAAAATCCATCTGGAGACCACACCTGTGGGAAGTGGCTGTTTACAGAGATGCCTCTCACCTTCAGATGCCTGGCTGCCCCAGGGCAAGGAACACAGTGGCCTGGATGTGCTGCCAGGCGTGTCCAGCTTTTCACTGGTGTGCCTCAGGAGCTTGGCCAGGCCCGTTCCCCTCAGTCTGGCACAGCCGGGGCCCTAGGAGGCAGCCGCTGCCCAAGCAAGACCAGGGCTTCCAGCCTGAGAGGCTCACACTTGCTTCAAAGGGTGACTAAAGCAACTTTATCGTTGTGGGAGTCTCCGAACGAGTCTGACCTTCTGCAGAAGGAAGACCTTCAGGCTACAGCTCGCCCCAAGGAAGGGACCGCTGCGCACGTCAAGGGTCACCTGGCCTGCGTGGGAGCTCTCCTGGGGCGAATCCCCCATGCTTCCAAGAGCCCATCATCATCCAAGGGCAGTGGTTTCCCTCTGCCTCTCTGGAAACCCCCAACTCCGCCCGCAGGTACATTGTGTAGAAACACAGGTGGAAACCTGGAATCAGATCAAGCCACCACACTGCACCTTGACAGGCAGAACCCCTCACAAGTCAGAGAGGCCTTGGCAGAGGACCCAGGGTTCCCCACGTGGACCCGAAGCAGTGACTTGCACAGCGCCAGCAGAACCCAACACGTACACACACGCAGAGATGCCCAGGCTCAACAAACTCAATGCTCTTTATTGGCTCCAGTGTGAGAAGGGCTCCCTCCTGAAGGGCTTGCCGTCAGCCTTCCTCACCATCCTCTTTGATTTCACCACAGGCCCCGTGCTCTTGCTCTTGCCCTGTGCTCTCACCCTGAAATCCAAGGCTCTGTGTGAGGGAACCCAGGAAGGTTGGGAGGCCACAACCTTCCACTGGAAGTCTGAGACTGCTCCGGCCTATTAGGAAGGCACACAGGCTCACAGCAACAGTCGCCTGCACGGGACCATCTCAAAAGTCCAGGCCCCTCCATGTGGACAGGCTGTCCCGCTTGTACTTCCTCTGGCCCAGGCTGTAAAAACAATGTCCTACAAAACACATGCCCCCTGGCAAAACAGTACTCTGGACCATAAGGGTGCTGTGCTGCACGGATGAGTGAGCAGGGCTCTGTATGCCACAGGTGTGCACTAACACAAATCAAAGGAAATCCCAACCATCCCCCAGCCCGGGCCGGCCCGGCCCAGCCCGGGCCACCCCGGCCCAGCCCGGCCCAGCCCGGCCCAGCCCGGCCCAGCCCGGCCCTGCCTGGCCCAGCCCAGCCCAGCCCTGCCCAGTCCAGTCCAGCCCTGCCCAGCCCTGCCCAAGCCAAAACAACCTAGCCAAGCCTAATTCAACCCAAACCCCAGAAGAGGTGAGAGCATGAGAAGGGAGGGAAGAGGAGTCCAGGGGAGAGGAGGGGAGGCCAGGGCACTGGAGGGGAAGAGAGCTGAGCAGAAAGGAGGGGAGTGGAGGGCAAGGGAGAGGAGGGAAGGAGACCGGAGGGGACCCGAGGGGAAGGAGATCCTGGGGAGCCAAGCTGCCCCAGGACAAGGACAAGCAATCAGGAAACCACTGCTAGCCTAGCCGGAATGCCAGAAATGTCTGTCCCCCAACATCTACTTTTTAAAATGGGGTGCAGGGAATTGATACTAAAGACTCAGGTCTGCTTGTCTGCTAGGCACAAAGGCTTCTCCCCGCCCATGGGTAGGATGAGGCTTGTCTCAAGAAGCACTGGTTGCCATCTGGGCCCTCCATTCAGTCCGTCAACCTCCTACTTTCAGTGGTCCTACGTGCACTGGTTTAGTCAGGGCCTACTCTTCCCTAAGCCCGGACTGGGACTCCTGGCAGCTGGCTGACCCCTAGCATTCCGAGCCCTG